GAGAGTTAATTAGTCACTTCCAGCACTTCGCTCTGCTCCAAGTCCCATGGGCCAAGGACGCACGAGCCGATGCCCTATCAAGACTTGCAAGCTATTCGCTATCAGCCCTTGGCCACACCGTGCACATAAAAAACATAACACATACCAACACCGAAGAGAGGAAGTGTATCCAGTCCAAGTTGAACCTTGTTGGATGGATCTCATTCTTGCCTACTTGCAACATGAACAGTTGCTATCCGACAAGAATGAGGCAAGGAGAGTTTGACAGCAGTCAACACGGTATGCCATAATTAAAGGCAAGCTATACAGAAGATTGTTCACCCTGCCCTATCTTAGATGCATCTTCCAAGAGAAGGGAGAGTTTGTGCTAAGAGAAATTCACGAGGGCATCTACAACAATCATCTAGGGTGTAGGGTCTTGGCATAAAAAGCACCTAGGCAAGGATATTTTTGGATGGCCATTCAAAAGGATGTTATTGAGTTCGTACAGAAGTGTGGCCAATGCCAAAGGTACTCTAACATCCTCCATTGGATTGCAACGACCCTCTTAGCCCTCAGTAGCCCTTGGCCCTTTGTAAAATGGGGAATGAACCTCCTTTGACCTTTCCCTCCGGCCACAGGGAATAGGAGACAACTCGTCGTGGTAGTAAACTACTTCACTAAATGGGTCGAAGCTAAGGCCTTGGCAACCATTACTACTAAGTTGATTAAGAGTTTCTTCTAGAAGAATATCATTTGCCGATTTGGGATCCCATACATGCTCGTCACTGACAACGACTGATAGTTCTGTGACTCTAAAATCAGAGAATATGTGGAAACCTAGGAATAAGGCAGCAATATACCTTGGTCGGTTACCCTCAAACTAACAGGTTAATCGAGGTCACCAATAGGACGCTCCTAGATGGATTGAAAGCAATGTTAGATAGAGCCAAAAGGCTTTGGGCGGATGAGTTGTACAACATTCTATGGGTGTACTGAATGACACCTCGAACTGCCACTACTGAAACACCCTTCAACTTAACATATGGGACATAGGCCATCATCCTACCAGAGATTGGCCAACTGACACTTCGAACTGAGGTATACCAAGAAGCTGTGAATAGTAAAGAGTCAAGGAATAACCTTGACTTGTTGGAAGGTGTCCGAGAGCAAGTCCAAATCAGGGTCGTGGCCTTCTAGTAAAGAGTTGCAAGATACTATAACTTCCAAGTTAGAGAGCATCACATCAAGGAAGGTGACCTTGTTGTTAGAAAGGTCATGGTCCTTAGCCCAGCGTTGAAAAGCTTTGCCCAAACTGGGAAGGACCATACAAAATCAAGCAAGAAGTTGGACCCGACACCTTTCAGCTAAAATTATGGGTGGAAGAGTAGGGCCTCTTACCTAGAACTCTAAAAATCTCTGGATGTACTATCAATAGAAGTGTAACTTTGTTAGTGGAAATTTGTGAATGAAAAGTGCAAGTTCCTCTCACTTCAATTTAATCTTCCTTAAGGTTATATACTCTGACTAGACGTTGGCCCAAGGCATATGACACTTTGCGAGTTATACGCCTAGTTGCCCATTGTCCTTTTCTAGCTAAGGCAAGAACTTTTGGGACCTCGATGACTGTCGATAAATGGCCCATGACCTCGACCTCATCCTCAAAGACCCTAAGAGAAGAGAATCTTTGTGAAGGCCAAAAAATTGACGTCAATCGCTCATTTAATAAAAACATGATTGTCACAATAAGTAAACAACACTTCTCTACTAAGGCAATTTCTCACGACCTCGACAACAAAGCCCCTACAAAATGACACACTAAGGGATTTTTTAAGTCCCCAAGAAAGAATTCGTTGAGCAGAAGGGCATTTTCCTGGATAAGGCAATCACCCTCCTCCTTTTCCCCTAAGGTAGGAAGTTATGAGACCTCAACAACTAATATCGACTAGGAAAGATCATTTTTGCAAAAAAAAAAGAGATATTTTATTAAAAATTGCAAATTTCTTTACAAAAATGCTTCTTCAGGGGGAGGCATTGGCCGTTCGCATGAAAGAAAAAAGGAAAAAAAAGAGAAGAAGAGTATCTTTTGACAAGAAACTCAAGTTCCATTAACTCAAGTGTCTTTACAAAAAAAAAGCCTCTTATGGGGGAGGTGTTGGCCCCTTACAAACAAATAATAAATAAGGGGCACATAGACCCAAATAAAGGAAACTCTCTATTGGCCCCCTCTGGTCTCAATGCCGGCCTCAGTGATCCCCCTAGCAGTAGCGACAACGGCTTGAGAAGTGGCATCGATGGTCGGATCCTCCCTCATCCCTAGTATTTCCACCAACTATTGAGCATCGGTGAGGAATGGGACCAGTTGATCGATGTTGAAGCTTAGTAAAATCTTCAACAATTGGACCTTGTAATCGTCAAAGCCCTCTAGGTAAGCTTGAGAGGCAAAGGAATCCACGTCTACATCGTGATCCTTCGAGGTCTTGTACTTTTCGACTGCCTTCACGGCCGACTCGTCCAGTTGCTGCTCCATCGACACCAGGGAGGACTTCAGCTCCTTCACGAGCTCCCTTTTGGTTGCCACTTCAGCCTTGACCTTCTTGTGATGTTCGTACTCATCACAGGCCCAGCCCTTGGCTGCCTCCCGACTGGACTGTGATTCGGCTGACTATTTCCTTAGGCACTCGATCTCCTCTTACGCCTGCTGAAGTTGCTGGATCAACACCTGCACCTTGTCTTAAAGGCCGACCGAGCATGAGACCATCTGCACACGAAAAGGAAAACTTGTTAGTCACATTCTGCCAAGAAGACCTCGACGACATAACTGACTTGGAGAAGTACGCGCATACCTCGGTGGCCTTGTCCAAGAGCGTGTCCTAGATTGTGCCCATGGTGTTTTGCATCCAGGACTGGCAGCTGCTAGGGAGAGCCATGCCGACCACGAGTTGTTGACCAACACTAGCCCCAGACAGGGAGTCCCACTCTTGAATGCTCCCGGGGTTAGAGGATTGAGGCGCCCCTTGTGTAACCCACTCAAGGTCTCCTTGTAGCGGCACTACTCGCGCAAGTGAAGTTTTTTTTGCCCAAGGGTCTCGGGCCGCCTCCGCAAGGCACTTTTGTGCCATTTTCCTTCACGGGCAACCTCGGCCTCGGCCCGTTGTTTGGTGGGCGTATCCTCTTTCCTTTGATTTTTGCAAGAAAAATTCAAGGGATATCAGATTCAATTTCCCTAGTTCGATCCAAGCAGTTGGGTTGCAGTTTTGTTCAAAACTATGTTGTTGAACTGACTTCAGGAATACACTACACCATCTTCACTGGAGGCTAGTTTCAGGACTGATTTATGCGTGAATTTCGACCTTGGGATTTGTGTTTGTGGTATCCGTATTAGGTATGCATCTCCGCCTTTGATTGGTTTTAAATCTAGTTTGGTTCAGTGCAAGACCGATATTGAAAAATGTAGTTTTTCAAAACATAGGGAATTCGATTCCCAAAAGGATTAGTAAATTTTTGAAATTTCGCCTAGCCATCTTGCATGGTTAAGCCGTCCATATGATGGATCCTAACCCTTCCAACAGTTTTGTGGTGTGGTCGAGAAGAGAATACATCACACCATAGCAGAATAGGCGTTTTATACTATGGTGAAAATTTGGTAGCCTGAACCATATTACACCTACATGGGCATTTTGCAAGGTGTTGTACAGTTCACCACACCTAGTATTTTGATTTTGTGTATCTCATATACGTAATGTAAGGTGATCTACGTTGTCAATCAAGAATAATATTTTTTTTGGTGTTTTTAAACAAAATACAAATCAATAATATGAATTAGTTTAACATGTGATAAAAAATTAATAATTATATAATGACAAATTTTAAAAATATATAAAAAAACTTTAATAGTAATAAATTAATAAAATGAATGATACTAATAATAAATTTAAAAAACTAATATTGATAAAAAATTTAAAGTAATAAAAAATATGAAAACATACATAAGAGAAATAATAAATTTATAAAATAATAATTAATAATAAAATAAAATTGATTAGCTATGATTTAAATTATTAAAAACGAGCCTACAGAACAATGTAACCAATGTTGGGGCTATAGTACCCTATGCCATGGTTTAGACCACGAAAAAAAACTATGATCAATATTTTGGGTGTGGCAAGAAACACTCAATTGAATGACTGAATGAGGTGTGACATAGTTTGAAACCTAATATCAAGGTTCAAAGTATCAATACGTATTGGCCTGTAGTATCGACCGATACATATCATATCGAAGCCTTCCTGATACGCCCCTACAGGGGGTGTTTCGGATCAGTAAGTGGTTCAGGGGTAGACCGACCTTAAACCGGCCCCTCTGAACCAAATTAAAAAAAAAAAAGAAACAACAAAAGAAGAGTACTGATACAAGCCGATACGCTCTACCAACGTATCACCCTGTATCGATACATTGAACCTTGCCCAATATATTGTAGTTTTAGGCTATGTTTGATTTGAAGGAAAAGATAAAGAAAAGACGGGAAACATAAAAAAACCTATACATTACAATGTTTGTAAAAGTTTCTCTACATTTCCCTTTCTTTCCCTACTTTTTCTTTCAAACCAAGCTTCACCATACTCTCCAACACCGCCATAATTTGACATGGATACACAACACCACATTTGATCTAATTTGACAAGGCACACAACTACTGTGGAGTTAATTTGATGTATATAAACACTAATTTGTACGGCCGCATAGTTAACAAAAAAAAAAGGCCACGCCCTATTTTACACCAAAATTGTTTGCATGCTTGAAAGTCCAAACATCAAGAAAACTATTATTGTTATTTGTTCTAAAATAAAGGAAACTATTGTTATTATTTGTTCTAAAAGAAAAAAAAAACTATTATTTGAGATAGGGCTGCAAAGGGAAAGACTTTGGATTTATGGTAAAAATAAACCCAAATTTGATTCACTTACGGTCAAAATCGAATAGCCCAATGGAATTATTTTGCAATATATAAATAAATTAAACATAAAATGAATAAACAAATATTTTACATGGAGTTAAAAAATGGGTCTCAGTCTGTTCCTCAGAAACTTGACCACAATAGCATATTCCCCGATTGCCCTTTCGTCCACACCATTCCACAACAACTGTGGGAAGAACAGCCGAGCACCGGTAGCCGCTATAAATGACAGAGTCAATGGCCCCGAAACCTGACGCTGCAATTTCCACCTCCCATTTACCCATTTTTTCACCGCCACCTCCGTCGCCACACAGAGCCCTTGGAAGACGAAGAACCACGTCACCTCCCACGTGGGATCCACACGCGTGAGGTAATAGTAGATGAGCTCGTGCATGAGCCCCGACACCGTAAAGGCAGCCACCACGGCCGGCAGCGGCGCCCATCTCGTCCCAAACACAGGAGCTGAGATACGCCGTACTGGGTCGTATACAGTTGGTCGCAGAATACTTGAAACCATGAGATTCCACCTCCTCCCCCAGAAATCTTGCAGAGAGGTTGTGAGGTACGGCTCGTTGAACTGTGGCTCGAGGTCTAGGCCGAGTAGGGCTCGAGCGACGGCCGCACCCATGGCCAGAGTGATTTCTAAGCCAAGGAAAAGGTTGCAACAGTACATACATAGGAAGATGCTTGGATGTATCTGTTGTTTGTAATCGTAGATAATTTTTATCAGCACCGCGGAAACAAGGCATTCTACAGCTAATTTTAGATGTGATCCACAGGGGGATGGGCTTTCTTCTGCTCTGGACTGTAGAGACTTCCCTGAATTTTGATGTGACTTACCGAGAGATGGATCTGGTTTGACTTTGATAGGAAGAGAAGCAATTGAGACGAAGCCTAGGAGTGATTTTGCTGGGCGGGATGATAGAGGACCTTGATCCAAGGAGAAGAGGAGAAGCTTAAAGTTACCAAGCCAAGCGAGGTAGAAAGCTGTGGGAGCTCCAAGATGGAAGGACGAGAGATTCAACGGAAGGATTGTGAAGAGACAGAGGACAGGGAGGAGAGATAGGAGTCTGATAACACCTTTTGGAAACTTTCCTGCTATTGAGTAACAGTAAAATAGAGATGCAAGTGCTGATATCCATACCTTAATGAAGTTGTTGATCTCATCATCCATCTCTTCCCCCTTTTTCCAATTCTCTGCTCTACTGATCTACTAGATCTCTGCGGTGTTCTCTTTCTGGTTTGAACTTGATAATTAACTATTTTCTATCCAACAAACATGGCATGTTTATTCTTTTATTAATTACTAGCGGGGACCCATGCATCAAAACTCAATATCCAATTTGATAACAAAAATGATCAAATGGATATACTAAGTGTCACTCACACGGATAACCCAATACCCAAAAAAAAAAAAAAAATTATTGAAAATTAAACAAATTTTCAATAATTATTTACAATAAAAACAAAACAAATTTTCAATAATTTTTCAGAATTGCACAAATCTAATAAATTTTTGTAAATTTTCAAATTTTTGAAAAGTACACTATTTTATATTTTATTTTCCAAAGTATGTTCTTCCAAAAAAACAATCAGAAATGTAATAATTTACTGAAAATAAAAAATTTCGGAAAAGTTTTGAAAATGCAATAATTTTCAGTAATTATTGGAAATACAAAATATAAATTTCAACAATTATTTACAACATTTTGAGAAATTTTTCTAAAAGTACACTAATAAATAATAAATTTTGAATAGTACACTAAATTTATAATTTAATTTCCAAAAAATTAATTTTCTGAAGTTTGATTTTTGTTGATTTTTTGAATATTAATTTATTCTAATTTAATAATATATTCAAAGAAATTAAAATTTAATTTACTCTAATTTAATTATGATATTCAATAATTTTATAATAAAATCCACACAAATTTTCAATAATTTTCCAGAATTGCACAAATTTTCATCATTACTATTCTTGTTATTAATGAATAAAAAATCCATGTATTACATGGTTCGGACCTATATGGTTCAAGTGCTATAATAACAGGTTGCTAACATATTTTAAAACATTTTTGGGTAATTTTCCACAAGTACGCTAATAAATAATAAATTTTGAAAAGTACACTAACATTATGGGTTTCTAGATAGCCCTGTTTAGCTTATGTAGTATGGGCACTATGCACAATAAATGTCTCAACTCATAAAAAGTATTAATTTTAATTAATCAAAAATATATTAATACAAATTTATCTAATAAAATGAAAAAGAATAAAAAAACAAAATACAACATTAGAACACGGGTTGTATTTGCAATATATCAAACCCAAATTTAAACCATAATATTATTAAAACTATAAATTAATATTTTTGTATTTAAATTTCTTATTTTTGTTAGTGTTTATTAAGTTTGATTTTTTAGTAGAATTGAAACGTTTTTTTAATTTTATTAGTGGAATTTTATTTAAATTTCTTATTATTAAAGTTTTAATTTTTATTAGTGTTTTTAAGTGAAAATTTAGTTGATTTTTAAATTAATAAATTTTTTATTTTGTTGTTTTATGTTTGATTATTTAACCTCAACCTATTTATATTATTTGACTTATTAATGTTTTACTTTATTATGTTGTATTACTATTCCCTCCCTCCCTCCCCCCCACCCACTCACTCACTCACTCACTCACTCACTTACTCACTCTCTCTCTCTCTCTCTCTCTCTCTCTCTCTCTCTTAAATGTCTTTTTTAGTATTAAAATAAGAGGCCTTTGAAAACCCAAAAGTCTCTCTCTAATAGCAGGGATCCGTGCGATGCACAGGCTTTGTTGAGTGAAAGTGAAATAATGGAAATACATAATAGTAAATATTTTTTTTTTCTATTTTCCATTGTAACACTATGAACTAATATCATCTTAGGCAAGGATTATAATGTTTAAATTATATAATTTATATATGAAAAAACAAATGCATTTTAAATACACTATGAACTAATTACATTTACTCCTTGAAGATTATTAATAATTAGTACATATTTTCAAAAAGTAATTTTAATGGCTATATTTTTTTAATAAACACTGTTAATTAATAAATACTACAAGTATTGAAAATACGGTAAAATACGGTTGATTATTAATATTGTTATTATTAAAATACATTTAATAAAAAATGCATTATTTTTAATAAATAATGTTAATTAATTAAAATACTGTAATTATTAAAAGTACTATATTAATTAAAAATACTGTTAATTAATGAGTACATTATTCAATATTGTTTTTGAATAAATAATAAAAATCATTTAAAAATACTACAATTATTAAAAATAATATTAATTATTAAATACATTATTTTTAATAAATACGATTAATACTATTTATTAACAAAAATGCTGTTAATTCTTAAAAATATTGTAATTATTATTAATACTATAAATTTTAAAATACAATAATTATTATTATTACTCCCTCCCTCACCTCTCTCTCTCTCTCTTAAATGCCTTTTTTAAATGTAATAATAACTTGCATTAAAATAAGTGGCCTTAGAAAACCAAAAGGTCTCTCTCTCTTTCCAATAGTGTGCAACTTTATTAATCTAATCAAGATAAGCAATGATTATTTTTTATATTTTTAAAATAAATGAAAATAGGTAAAATACAAAAAGAAATTGAGAATATATATAAGTAGCTTCTCTCAAAAAGTAATTTTATTAGTTATATTTTTTATTTTTTGATAATTTATCATATTAATTGGAAATAATGTTAATCCATTTTTGGTAATTTCTTGGATAATTTTTTATAATTATCACAAAATTATTGGTACTTTATTTTTTGTTATTTTCTTGCCTAATTTCTTTTCATTAAATGTAATTTTCTACTATTTATAGCTTAAATTATATTTAAATATAATTACTTTTAATTATAGTTTAAAATTTAATTATATTACTTATAGTTTCAAATATAATTTAAATTACAACAAACATTAATTAAGAATTTAACAAATGTTAATTAATGAATTAACAAAAAATTAATATTTTTTAATAATCCAATATGTTAATAAACACAATTAATTAATATATACTATAATTAGTAATACTACAATGTTGAAATACTATAAAATATGGTTAATTGTTAGTGTTGTAATTATTCAAAATACTGTTAACTATAAATTCATTATTTTAGTGAATACTTTTGATTAATTAATAATACTATAATTATTAAAAATATTGTATTAATTGAAAGTGTAGTTAAAATTGTTAATTAATAAAATATTGTAATTATTTAATTACTATTAATTAATAATTATTGTAATTGTTAATACTATTTTTTAATAAATTATAACTTACATTATATTAATTACTAAATACATTATTTAATGCTACTTCTAAATAAGTACTGATAATTATTTAAAAATACTATAATTATCAAAAACACCGTTAATTTATAAATACGATTAGTACTGTTTGAAAGGAGGGAGAAATCCATCGTATGGACGCCAAGAAAGCAGCGGAATAGGTGGGCAAATTTCAAAATTTTTTCTCCCTTCAATCAATTGGGAGTTGTATTCCCTTATTTTAGAATCAATTATTCAAGGACCTACTCGAACCAAACCAAACCAGATCTGAACCAAAGATCAAGGGAAGGGTTATACCTGATACGGAGAATCAAGATCTCCCAACGTCGGTGTTCACGCCCAAAGAGAGGTCCAAGATCCACTCCCGTTGAAGATGACACAACGACGGTGGAGCATAACCAATAGTGTGCGTCCTACGCATCGGACTCTTCGCAAGAATCCAATGGAAGCTTAGAGCACCGGACCAAATCAGTCTTTCAGCAATGACTGATGTCAAGAACCAACTTCTTGATCGTCCCTTCAGAGGAGTTCAGACCAAGCAGTAAGGTGGCGGCGGCTGGAGGAGTTCCTAAGGCTGAAAGTGGCGCGGATGTAGATTTCAGCCTAGGAAGATGAGATCCTATCTCAAACTTGCAGGGTAGTTACTGCAAAACCCTAGGTCGAATTCCTGTAATTCAAGATTAGGGTTTCCTCATTTCTTAGTGATCAAGAAACCTCCTAATCCCATTAGGAGTTATCCCAATCCAAATCAGCATTTGGATAGGGGATAATCTCAATCCTATCTGCAGATTAGGTCAGCCCACTCCTGATCTTATCAGGAGGTTACCAGATTCAAATCACATTTGAATTTGGTCTCCAAGAGTGGATAGGGTTAGAATCCTAATCCTTTAGCTAATCCTAATCCCAAATACGTCCCCTTAAGTGGGTGATCATATTAGCCTAGGTCGAAATGGGCTTTAGGCCCAATAAGTAATAAGTTCTCAATAAGTTTCCAAACTGCTGCCCAGTTGGGCTTCTTTGTATGGCGTGGGACCTAAGCATTGATCTACACATCAGCCACATGGGTTCAGCCCAACCTTTGTTACAAGGCCTAGCCGAATTCACTAGAAAGCCCAGTGAACCCCTTGAGCCCATCACATGGACTCTATGGGCCCAACACTTACA